TTCCAAATAGTTCTTGGTAGACATTCTGCCCTCATGGAAGTGGAACTTTACCCCTCTCTCTGAAGTGTGGCCTTAGCATGGTGATTTCTTTCCCAAGAGTGCAGTATGGGAAAGGATTGAAAAGGCAAAATAATTTTATAGTGGAGAAACCTAACTACTACCTCAGCCAATGATCAAAGTTAACATCAACAGCAATAAGACATGTTGCTTATAAGGACCAGTGTATGTAATGATATGGGRTGGAAATGACACTTTACCTCTGTGGTCTTCCTCTCAAGAACTCGTAGCAGCATCTAACCATGAGAAAAACCTCAAGCAAATTCCAGAAGGTCTTCCTACAAAATTTTCAGCTAATACTTATCAAACCTGTGATGGTCATCAAACCAGGGAAGTCTGAGAAACTCATTGCCGAGAGGAGCCGATGTAACATGGCATCATGAATGAGATCCTGCAACAGAAAGACATTAGGATAAGACTAAGGAAACAGGAGTTAACTACGAATGTTGGTTAAAGTAATGTATTACWACTGGTTCATCAATTGTGGCAAACTACTACATTAATTTAAGACACTAATAATGAGAAATGAGGTGCAGGGTTTCTGTAAATACAAACTTTTAAAAGGTCTATATATATGCATTCTTTAATTTTTATTATGTAATATTTGATATAAGTGAAATAAATATATAATTCATATGTAGATTAAGAATAGTAAAAAAATCCATGAATTCATTTCTCTACTAATGAATTAGAACATTATTAACAAGTACCATTGAAGTTACCCAAATCCAACACTCTGCCTTTCCCCACCCATGACCATGGTTCTTAATTAGAGTTTAACATTTCCTTTTATTTAAAAAAAAATTTACATATATATATATATATATATATATATTTGTGATATGAGTATATGCATATGATATGATTCCACTTTTTCTATTAAAGATTTTTGGAAAATATTAAGCAAATGGTTGGGAAAGTCTCAATGCCTAGGCCCAGATACAGGGTTTCATTACTCTTTAGGGGAAACAGAAAAGAGCTTAGGGAGAAGGCCTAGAGGGCTCCAAGCAGGTCAGAGGTCAGGAATGAGGACTGGGGTCAGAGGACATGGCCAGGCTCTCCCTAGGGCCTGATGTTGCATCCTGCACATCTGATTTTTTCTCCCACCATCTGCTGAGCCCTGACTGCAGAGTAAGGCCTGTGATTGACCTGAAGGTGGGATCAAATAGTTTTGTTATGGTCAGAAAAGTGCTGACAGGACAGAGGGACATATAAGGTAAATATAGAAAACAAAAGAGCAGATGCCACTAGTATGTTCCTRCCCAGATCCAGGCCTGCTCCTGGTGAGGCATTCCAAGAAGCATCAAACAATTTTCAAAAGCCCTGTGTCTGGTTTCTGACCCTCTTCTGCAGTGAAGTGGCGGAAGACAGCCAGAAAAAGCTCCTTTCTGCAAAGAGTTGTCCTTAAGCTCCTGATTAGAATTTTGTGGCTCATTAAGAAATACATAAAAAGATAAACACTCTGCTTAATCAACATTATTCTGAGTTTCTCCAGTCATATAATATGATTTTTTTCTCCTTAATAGCTTGGGTGAGATGAAGCTAAGTTGAATGGTTTGGGGAAGGGGACTCTGATGCTCTATTTTTGAGCATGAAGTGCTTGAGATAAACTTCTAAGAGCCTCTGAAGGAGCCAAGAGGGCATCAGGAGCTGGCAGTGGGAGACTCAGGAGGGGGGGCTACAGAATCTGTAATGTCACTGACCATCTCATCTCCAGGCCCTCTTCTTGGTCATTTGTAGTGGAGATCSAGGCCTGGCACCTGCGAACCATATTTCTCACATCCATCAAAGGTGGCTTATGCCAATGGGAGGCCCTAGAAAGAGCCTGAGGGAAGAAGAGGATGGAGAGACCACCTCTGGCTCAAGCCCCCGTGGGTGTCCCTCTAGCACAGCTGATGTTCCTATTCCAGCCTCCAGCTACAGCCACAAGTAGGCCTTCAGGAGGCAGCACCAGCTGGGGGCAGGGACAGGTGCTTCCCTTCAAGCTTCTATGTTCTGGCAGGTGTTTCTTCCTTTTTGTCCCCAGTCTAGAGAATGGCAACTGCTTTTTGTAGCTGCTAATAGCTGGGTGACCTCAACAGCCCTTCCAGCCCCCTTACATCTGCGCAAACACTTCCTTGTATTCAACACTGAAAAACCTACTGAAGTTTCTGGGTTCTGAAGGGCCCCTGATGATTTATCTATCCCTCATCTTGTATATTTATTTAGATATGACTAAGAGTCAGAAAAGGGTTTCCAAAAAAGTAAAGCACTATGATAAAAAATCATTAACATGAGATATAAAAAAAAGAAAGAGTAACCCAGAAAAGGAACTATTAAGAACTTTAAGCTGAGAAAAAAATAATGTTCATCTTTATACTGCTTTCCTTTTTTCTACTGTGAAAGGGGAGCCCTTCCCAAGAATATAATTATATAAAATAAAATGAGCTAYATATCCAAAGTTTCTGCAGGGATTTTGAGCCGCAACAAGAAAAGTTCAAGAAGTGAATCTTTTGTTCAGCAAAGCTTCATAGATAGTTTTTAGAGACCCAGAGAAGCCTGCAGCTTAGCTGCATAGGGATGGGTTGCCTATTGCTTTGTATCAATGATTAGCAAGAATTTTATAGAATATCTAGAAAGAAAAATAAAGATGGAAGTAGATTTTACTCCTTTCAGCTCCTATGATATTATGACTTTAATTCCTCCCCCTATACTCATGTTAATGACCCTGTATGATTAATTATCTATGACTGAGCATGTCTTAACTCTTCAAGTAAAATCTAAGTTTCCTGGGGGCACATTTAGGCCCCATAATTTGGGGGTTATTGTGCCCAGGAAAAATGTCCTGAACATCCCAAGAACTCAATAAACATCTTGTGGATAATGAGAGAGAGAGAGAGAGAGAGAGAGAGAGAGAGAGAGAGAGAGAGAGAGAGAGAGAGATTGAAGCAGGCAGGGCCTGAGGAGGTACATAGCCAGCCAATGTCCCCTTCTGATAATGAATATTGACTAGGGTTCACAGAACACGCTATGGGGACACTCTATGGGGACTTGTCAGGGTCAATATTCCACTAAATTATAACTAAAAAGTAACATGTTAACATGAGTTCATCATAAATATTCAAGCAATTAAAAATATTTAGAGTAAAAAGCCTCCTTAATTTCCTCAACTATATAGGCATCCAAAGAGATTCTACCATTCATGTTATTCACTACTTGTCTTTTTCTCATATACATAAAATATATTTATTTTCATACACATATTACATTGCTCTGTTGTACAAGCTGGCCTCAAACTCCTGGGCTCAAGTGAGTCTCTTCCTCAGATTCCCAAGTAGCTGAAATTTCAAGTGTGCACCAGTGTGCCCAGCAACAACACACCCTTCTAATGGCTAAGTAACATTCCTTATTATGGAACAAACAATTATAATATTCTACTACTGATATATAGATTTCAATTTTTTAATTACCATAAGAAATAATGTCTAACAATTTATCTACTTGTCCATGAGCAAGTTATTCCGCAGGGCATTTCCATGAAGGGAAATGACTAGACTAAAAGCAGACACAGCTCTGGGGTTGTGGTTCAGTGGTAGAGTGGTTTTCCTGAGCGCGTGTGAGGCACTGGGTTCAATCCTCAGCACCACATAAAAATAAATAAATAAAATAAAGGTATTGTGTCCACCTACAACTAATATTAAAAAAAGAAAAAAGAAGACACATTTGCACGTTGACACTGGCAACGTGCCCCACGCTCCCTGCAGTGTTCTGTGAACCCCAATCAAAGGCAATGCCTGTGCTTCTCCACACACACCACACAATGGATGTCAACCTTTAAAAACCCTCAAGTCTGATGATCCAGCAGGACACCTCTTTGTAATTCACCTTCCTTGATTATCAATGAGGCTGAGCATCCACTGATACACTGGTTAGCCAATCACATTCCCTTTGCTATGAATTGTTTGTTTATAGGTTATGCTCACCTTTTCTGGTGAGTTGGTCATTTCTCTTAATCAGTTTGTAGAATTGGACACGAATGACTGGTTTGCTATGTGTCTCGTACACTTTGGGACTTGCATATTCATTTCCATGGCACATCTGGGAAGACGTGAGCTGCTGCTACAGCCCTGGTTTTGGGGTGGAGAGAGAGCTTTTCAGAGAGAAAGCCAGCCAAAATGGAAAACACAAAGTAAGTTAATCTTCTTCTCATGCTCTTCGTCCCTACTCTGTCCTTAGTTACTCCCCTTATATCAAAGAAATATGACATATCAAGAACTATGTAATGTTTTGAATGACCAACAATAAAAAAAGAAAAAAAAAGACTGACATTCCAAAAAAAAAAAAAAAGAAAAGAAAACACAAAGTAAAAGAAAAACAAAACAACAACAGCAAAAAACCCCAGACCTGATGAGCAATGGAAAGAGGGTGTGTGTCTTTACTCACCTCCGTGGGGATGAGAGCAGTGAGTTAAGAGCGCATGATTTGAAGACCAGCATTCCATGGTTCACTCCTTGCTAACTATGTGACCTATCGTCTCTTCCTCTCTGAAGAAGCTCAGTTTCCTTGTCTAAAAGAGGGGAAATAATATTAATTCATGTCATGGAGGATTATTGTGTGGAATAAGTGAGGAAAATCATGAAAAGGACTTGCTTTATGTTTTGGCACTTAATGAGCAACGAACCATTTACCCTGTGAATCTAATAAAATCATACACACAGATGCCTTTGAATGATTTTAAGGGCAATGATCATGGAAGTTGATGTTAGTATGTTAGCTTTAGTTGGTGTGTAATCCATTTCTCGTCACRGACTGGAAGTCTGAGGGGTATTTGAGAGTTGTCTTAGTTTGGAGGCTGGAATGTTCTCTGAGGGTGTCAGGTCTCCTCCCACTTTCCTGATTGGCCAATGTGGATATTGGGACTGGAAAAGGAGAGAACAGCTCAGCACTGGGGGCAAAGTTGGGGACAACTCAGGGAACAATTGTGAAGGGAAAGGCAGCAGCACTTCTTCTCCGTTCTGGAAAGATGGAACTTTTGATGCTAGAAAACTTCATAGATGGGAAATTTTTACCTTGTCACTCGTATATAGATTCTTATGATCCATCCACAGGAGAAGTGTACTGCAAAGTGCCAGATAGTGGAAAAGAAGAGGTGAGTCTGTTCCCTTAGAGAAAATGGAAATGTATTTAATGAATTGGCAAATTATGAATTACTTCATTTTCTAAAAGAGAAGGAGGTTGGAGGAAAGTATAGAATTGTGAGACAGAAGGAAGACACTAAGGTTTCTCTTGTAACAGGACATGTCTCAGACTCAAGCAAATTTCAGGTAACTACATTCAGAATAAAGTGATTTTTCTAGCCAACCTAACAACTCTATGTTCAGTTGTTACTTATTTTATTTTATTTTATTGTAATTTTCAGACATCTCCTTACGGGCATATGGTATGAAGTGTACTGTAGCAACTGTTATTAAAATGCATCCTTTCTCTACCAAGTTACCTAAATTTATGAGTAAATCTGAGGATTTCTAAAAAAAAGTGTCAGTTCACTAAAATAGAGCAGCAACATTAATTATTCCTCATATCTTCAAATAAYTAGGATAATTCAATAATTGAATAATGAAACTCAAAATCAAATTCTCATATACTTTTGGAGTTAGATTTAGCATTTTAAAAGTATTTGACTTTTTATTAAAAAAAAACCTTTTAAACTCTGAACTTAGTGGCACATAGACTGATTTTCTTTCCTTTCACTCCCCCTTTTTTCCTTCCTCCCTTCCTTTACTCCCTCTTTCTTTTCTTTGGCTGATGAATTTATTTTACTTTGGGAAATTTATAAAATATCTGAGACATGTTAGAGTGGTTTTCAGTTATTGCACTGAGAATGTAAATATGTCTGTGGTGGTAAACATGACTGGTGTATGTTTAGTCTTTTAATGCATAATATATTATAATTTCTTTTTAAGACACAAAACCTAGATTATTTAAAATATAATTATGACCTTCATCTATAAAAATAGGTTGTATGCAGATTTCTTTGAAGAACTCAGTTATTTTTTTTTTCTGTGAAAATTTCAASTCTGTCTTGCATTAACAAAACCTTTAGACTTGTGGATTAATGTTGGCAAGTATTGGCTAATTTGTTGGTTAAACTATAATCTGCAATTTTGTTTGTTTTAAAGGACCCAAGATAGCTGTGGGAAATCTGGTCTTGTCTTTTCCACTCCTTCTTGTTTCACAGTGTTCTCCAAAGTGAAGTTAAAAATGACAAATATGCCAAATTCAGGTTGAATATTTTCTGCAGCTTACGGTTTGTACCTTTTCAGAAAAGAGACCAAAACTGAAAATAGTAGCTGCTACTACAGTAATAAATATTTTTTTATTTCCATGAATGCAACTCACAAGTATTCTATCTGATCCCGTAAATCCCATTTTATTTTCCTGGCTTAAAAAAAAAAAAAAAAAGAAAAAGGTCACTGTATAAATTACATGATAAATTTCTCCAAATAGTTGCTCACAGCAAATCCTGCCAGTGCTCAGGGGTTCCTCAGTCAGCTTTAGTTACGTGCTTTGCCTTCACCAAGCTGCCTTACCAGGATTGTCCCAAGGGGCGAGTTGTAACAACCTAGAAATTAGTTATCTGTTATCGTCCTTATGTTCTGAGGACAGAGTGCCGACACTTTGGTGTCTGGTGCCTAGGTCAATGGGTGTGTCTGGTGTGCATGCTCAGACACACACATACATATACTTATTGTTGCTTATTTGTGTTATGGCATTGCAGCCGGAAGCACAGACCAGAGTCAAACTGCCTAGGTGCAAACACCCGTTCCATGGCTTGCTGCCTGTGACCTTGACTTACAGCTGAGCCTCTTTGTGCCTCATTCTTCCCATTTATGAAATGGGGATAGTAATGATTCCTCCTTCGTAGTGTTGTTCTGAGGATGAGATGGATTAATCCATGTAAATCCCTCAGTGCTTGACACTTTCTAAGTTTTAGCTTACAGTAATATTATTGTATATGGTAGATTAATATGCCGTCTATATTGTACAAACATAAATCAGGTGACATAAGACAGTTTAGAAAACATGAATGGACTTGAATTTTCTAAATGTTACATATCAGAATTGTACATGACCCACTGTAGGAATGGAGCCCCTCTGGTTGGCTGGCAGTAGATTTTCCATGACTGCAGATTGAGGTGAAGGTCACCAAAAAGTCCACCTCCCTTCCTTCATCCTGCCTGCAGGTCCACATTAGAGATTCGGTTTTGGGGGTGAGGCTGCCATCCTCAGACAAATTTCTACTGACGACGAGAATCTTGATCTTCAATGGTTGTGGTTGCTGTGCTAGGGATGGAACCCAGGGCCGCACACATGCTAGATGGACACTCAACSACTGAGCTAAACCCCCTTAATAATCTCATGCCTTACTTCAGCTCAGCTGAAAGTAACTTTTTTTCCAGAGGGAACAAGGGACACATTGGTGGGGTTCTTCATGAGGGGGCTAGATCAGGAGTCTGGATGGTCAGATCACATGGCCCAAGAAAGGTGCTCCTGACTGTCTGAAGCCTGTGAAGAAGGATTCTGAGGCTGGGCTGGGACCAGTGGTGGGAGAAAGGTGTAAGTGACTGTTTATCATGCACAAGCAGAGGAGAGCTGTGACACATGGACTACAGATTTGCCATGTCTGGAAGAGGCATTGATTAGACTTTCCCTGAATGAGAAGAAAGGCAGAAGCAGGAAAGCACTCTAAGATTCATTTTGCTTGAGTCACATTTTGGTCATGAGTTGGCCCTGCCCATACYTCCTCATGTTGCTTCTTTGGGGATGTAGCTTCAAAACTAGAGATCTAAAATTTCTGTTCAACCCTAGATCCCCTCCTTTCCAACAGAGACCCACCCCTTCCATTGCACACTGGGCTTTGGGCAGGGCCAGTGGTTATGCCATAACAAGTCAGCTTCTGGTTTTGGGAACCAAAAAGATCTGTATTTGTATCCTGATATGCATTTATTAGCTGTGTCACTTCTGGCAAGTTAAATGAGCTTTCTGTGCCTCACTTCCTCATCTGTAAAATGGGCATAAAATACTCAAGATAAAGAGGCTAACTGAAATAATTGGTATATTTAGTCATAATCCTTTAGTTATAAAATTATTCAATAAATGACTAACATAGGATTAGCCATTCCAAGGGCCAATGACATTCCAAGGATAGGATTTCATACAAAACTTTAGATTTTATACAATGTTAGAACTGGATTAAGAGCTTTAGAGATTCCATACATCTAAAGTAAGTTTCCCCTCCTATTCAATATTCATAAAGTTCTGTTCTTTGGAAAATGATTGACATTGCATATCTGTTGAGATTTGAACAGCTTCTTTCTGATTAGCYGACTGCCACATTCTAGCTCCTTTGGTCGAGATGGAGGGTTTTGCTTTGTTTTTGTGGTTTCTATTTGCTGGTGGCACAAACACCTGTGTTGCCTACATGTGGTAGCTCAGCACTGGCACATTTTGGATAAAAGGGAGCTGTGGGTTCTGGATTCCTCCAGTCCCTCAGGAGCAACAGCTTTAAGCTGACCTTCCTTCCTCTTCTGTTTGCTCCTCAAAGATCGAGGTCGCAGTGGAGGCAGCCAGAAAGGCCTTTCCCAGCTGGTCATCCCGCAGCCCCCAGGAGCGCTCCCAGGTCCTGAACMGGCTGGCAGACTTGCTGGAGCAGTCCCTTGAGGAGTTGGCCCAGGCAGAATCTAAAGACCAAGGTGAGAGCCATTTCTTTCTAACAGAGCTGTGGTTTGAGTGTAGAGGTCTTGTACTAAATGCTTATAAGAACAGCAATATGTTACCCAATATTACCATTAGTACCCTTCTTCCAGTGTGTGAGGTGGTCTCTTGACACTTAAATGTAATTGATGGAATTCAGGACTCTTTGTCATTATTCATATCGACCCTCCTGCGGTTCTAGGCAGGTGCTTTCTTACAGCAATGGCAGAGGTGGAGGCAAAACCATCCAAGGCTGTGGAAAGTCATGGCTTCCAGCTGGCTGCTCCTGCCCCATTCACAGCAGTCATGAGACTGAACCCAAGGTCAAGGGGCAAAGAATTATACTCTGTTCCTTTGGTGGAACAAAATGCAAAGGTCCATAGCAAAGGGCATGGATATGGGGACAGATGAGGAACTAGGGCTGATCACTCAATCTTCCTCCCATTTTGAGTAGAGAGTTTCAAAGCAAAGATCATTTGAAGAGCAGTGGCACAGTCAAGTTATGTAGAAAGTGCTCTGATCTTATCAGTCCACTAGTCCACTCCTAACACAATCTCCCAATTTTTCTCCTTCCTTGAATAAATGTTTGTAAATTTCTGCAACACAGTCTATTAGGAAGAGCCAAAAACTTTAAAAAAATGTATGCATGCCATAAATCAACATAGAGTTAGGAAGCAGCCTGGGGGCAAGCCCTTGGAAAGAAAATGTTTGCTCTCCACCTTTCTTGGTGGCAGAGTTTCTTTGCCTCACTGGAGGGCACTCAGGGGCAATCCAGGCAAGATCATGCTTCTCCTTCCACTCCATCYAGGAATGGGGACATGTGACAGGTGAGCAAGTGTCACACAGCATCCATGGCTGGGATGTTCCTGCTAATCCTTCAGATTACCACCATGTGTTAGGGGGACATTTAATAGAACTCACGTGTTTGTATGTGATGTGCAAACACAGCTATCTCAATACCCATTATTTCAACCCCTTCACAGCACTTACAAAGCCTGGTGATTTTGGACTGGCAAGAGCTTGTGTGGGTGAAGTGCTTGCATCTGACAAATTCACAATGAGAGCTACAAAATGTTCAGTCCACAAAGCAAAGATGATCTGAGTCAACTCTGCCCCCGCCCTTGCTGATATTATAACCTCATACCTAATAATTTCATAGTTTTACCCATCCATGGTCAAGGAATGCCTCCCCAGGGCTGGAAGGAACTGTGACTAGTCCAGTGTGAATTGGGATATGGTGTGGTGACGGTTGATGGACACCTCTGTCCATGTCTACTCACTCCACATAGAACACACTTGGAAGTGCTTTCTTCCCTACAGGGAAAACCCTGACGATGGCAAGAACTATAGACATTCCCCGRTCTGTGCAGAACTTCCGGTTCTTCGCTTCCTCCATCCTGCACCACACGACAGAGAGCACACAGATGGATCACCTGGGCTGTCTGCACTACACAGTGCGGACTCCGGTGGGAATTGGTAGGTGCTGGTGGGAAAAGCATATGTCCTGATCATGCACAGARGTGCTCAGAAAATTCTGTAGAATTAATCTCAAGGAATGGACTAAGGAAAAGGAAGGAGCCAATTTCTCCCTTTTTACTGAAAATTTGTTGACCTCAAAAATCTATTTCTAATTTATTCTCTTTGTGTCAAATTCCCTACAAATTCCTGGAACATTATTTTTGAAAATTGCAATTTCCAAAAAAATTTTTGGAAAAGAATGATGCTAGGAGTAAGTTAACATTCCAGGATATATATTTTTTTGCCACCAATAATTAAACAACAACAACCAACCAAACAACCCAAAGAGTGCAGTGGTTTTGACTCAAGAATTATGTGTGCTTCAGTATCTTCTCTGAAAACCCGGGATAGTAGTTTATCCTTACATATGTTTTAATAACATATATGAATTAAATAAATCATAGGTATAGGATACTTAGAATAATGACTACACCTATGAATTTGTTTAATTAATAATCATTGGCTGAGAATGCTCTACTTCCTCCACTCAGTTCTTTGCCTCCTGTCCTTTGAAGAAACATCTAAATGTCTGCAATGACTARACATGTCCACTAGATGGCAATGTTTCCCCTGAAAAGAGACCATATTTTACTAGTTAACATTTTATGAATATAAAAGAAAAGAAAATGAGACATTTTATTGTTTTGATTCTTCGAACTTTTTGGAAATAACATTTTTAAGGCATTATGGAGATCCCTAACTGCTTTCTAAGAAGAATGATAAAGTATTTTGCTTGAAACAATATTTTGTTATACCCTGAAGAACAGATTTTTTTCTCCCGCTGGGAAATTTAATACTGTAAAATACACATTTACTTTCATAACACAGGTTTTAGGGCAGAGTTTAAAATGAAGTGAATTCATTTCCTTAGTCATGATAGAGGCTTTATATTTGTTGAGTGTTGTGGTTAAGAACCTGGATAGTTTYAGAATACTGCATGGAGACACTCTCTAGAAGTTGGTATGTTACTTATTCAGGAAATCTATTGGGTCAAGATACAGGTGAGAATCCAGAGAGAATTTTTATTTAAGAATATTCTAAACAGCTTAGATGGTTTTCATGATCTATGCATGAAAGTTGATTGGCTTTACTGACAGGAGGGCCCCTACCAGGACCATCTAGAAGCGTTTTGATCCTACTTTACAAATAATTCTAAGAAAACTTGAGGTATTATGTGTCAATCCACAACATATTGGAAACAGAGGTGAATAAACTTGTTAAAATAAATAGCAGCTGAACAGCTTAGTAATGAGAAGGGAGAAATTTTTWAAAAAAGTAAAGCCCAGTTTATAAATCTCAAAATGCATTACATTCTGAAACTGTTAAGCAGTAGATTGATTACAGCCTTGTGGCCTTGGGGCTTACACTGTTGTTCGTAATTATAATTGTGAGCCATCAAGAAATGGGAAAACTGTTTTGAAAGGCACAATTGCGTGTAATAAATTTTAGATTGATTTACTTGAAGTTACCTATAAATAAGCCAAGTCTAGGGTTTTTAAGAGTAAATAAGTTTATGCAGCATGAAGGAGTTCTCAGTTAGTAACCTTATCCGGCCAACCTGCCACTGAAGGGCATGTCACCATAGAAGTGCTTCTGCTCTTGTCCTTTAGCGGGTCTGATTAGTCCTTGGAATTTGCCCCTCTACTTGCTGACCTGGAAGATAGCTCCGGCCATCGCTGCTGGGAACACTGTGATAGCAAAGCCCAGTGAGCTAACTTCAGTGACTGCGTGGATGTTGTGCAAGTTCCTGAATAAAGCAGGTAATTAAGTGTTGGGGGGCAAATTTAGGGGAGATGCAGAGTTATGTTACATACAGATCTCCCACTTGGCAACAATATCCAGTCCAAAGACATCTATGGGATTTGTCTCCCTGATCCTTTTCCAAGAAATCCTCTTTATCCAATGCAGGGCATTCTCACACTGTTCCCTCTATTCAACTGCTACTGCAGAATAGACCCACCTCACAGGGTGGTGTCTTGCAGTGCAAGAGCATAAAACAGTAAACAGTATCGAAAACTTAAAAAGTCCTGATCTAATCAAAYACATCAGCTCGATGCAGAGTATCTTCAATGGTCAATTTAAATCTTAGGTTTAAGCCACAAGTTAATCTTGGTGAAAAGGAGAAGATTGCTAGGTATTCCTATAAGTTGTACACAATATCTCATAGACACAGCCATTCCCAAAGGATTTGAATATAAATCCTTTGGCTTTCCTTGATTTGGGATCAATAATCAGAAGGTGAGAGGCCACAGCCTGTCAGGCTCGCACATTTGCTCCTTGTGTTAGTCAGTTTTTCATTAGTGTGATTCAAATACCTGTCAGGAACAATTTAGAGAAAGAAAGAATTGGGCTCACAGTTTCAGAGACTGACTCCATTGCCCTAGGCCAGAGGTGAGACAGAACATCACGGTGGAAGGGTTTGGTGAAGGAAAGCTGCGCAGTTTATGGCAGCCTGGAAGGAGAGAGGGAGGGACAGTGTGCCTGTGTGAGAGGCCAAGGACAAGTTATAATTCCTCAGAGTTTACCTCTGTGACCTACTCTTCCAGCCACGCTCCACCTGCCTAGAGTTACTACCCAGGAATCTATTCAAATTCTTCATCCATTTGATGGATTATTATCAAATGGATGAATCCATTGATGAGATTATAACTCTTATAATCATTTACTTCTCAACGTTCATGTGTTGCCTAATATATGAAGTTTTAGGAGACATTAATATCCAAACCATAATATTTTACCCCTGACCCTCYGAATCTTATGCTCATCTCACAGTACAAACTGTATTCACTCCTTGCCTTCTTTCTTCTGATAGTTTAATGGCCACATTCAGAGTGCAGTCCTGGATTTGTTCTAGGTGCAACTCCACACAGACAGTCTGATACTGAACTGGGGTGTGGAGGTCACAGGCAGGAAGCCCTGCAGGTAACCTGTGAGAAGGCCCCTTGCTATTAGGTCTCTGGGCTCATGTCCACCACAGTCAGGGTGGAATGATGTCTGGGAGCTGGGGACAGACTGCCATCCTTCTGGCTATGTTGGCTTCTGCGGTGTCACTGACTTACAGCACACAGAAAAGGTACCGCTGGGCTCTCCCATATTTATAGAATGGGCAGTGGGTACAAGCCTATACTCTCTTCCTTCTGGATATCTTTTCTCTTGCAACAAAGACATACACATTAGGGTCCAGTGAAATTTAGTCATTTCTCTAGGATTCTAATGTTAGGTTAATACTGAACCTGTTTAGAGCAGGGCATTGGGCTAAAAGACCCTAGTATCCTATAGAGGAATGAGGTCTCCCAACCCGGTTATTAGATATAATGTCTATGGAAGCCCTAGTCCTCTGGGGGGAATGTATGGCTTGAATGTACCTACCTCTCCAATGTCCCAGAATGTATCTGTCTTTCCTTACAAAAGTGACCACCATTCTAATCCCATCTTTTGCAAAACGGAGTCTCTGGTATACGCAAACTTATGAGATATTTCTTCTCAGCTGGTGACACAGGTTCCTAGAAGGGTTCAGAATTAGCTTTCTGTTTCTATGACAAATCAACCTAAAAAGAAGATAAATCAACCTAAAAAGAAGAAAGGTTTATTTTGGCTCACAGTTTTGGAGCTTCATGATCAGTTGGCTCCATTGCTTTTGGGCCTGTGATGAGACAGTACATTATGGTGGGAGCACATGGTGGAAAAAACAGCTCGCCTCATGGTAAGCAGGAAGAAAAGAGAGGAAGAGGTGGGTTTGGGGTCCTCATATTCCCTTCTAGGGCACTCCCGTAGTGACCTAACTTCCTCCCACCAGCCCTGCTCTTAAAAGTTATCCACCTCCCAGCAGTACCACAGACTGGAGCCCAACCCTTCAACATGTAGGCCTTTGGGGACATTCCTAATCCAAACTGTGGCAGGGACTTCCCTCTCCCTTGATCTCATGGAGGAGGGGATGTGAAGCCCTGTTTTCCTGCGCACTCTCCTGAAACCACACATCTGGATCTGTGATGCGTTTTCTTTCCTCACCACTTTCCCCAGAACCTGGTCTGCACGAGAGCTTTCCATTTCCCTCTATTTTCCCAGCTTGGATCTTGCTTGTGAGCAAACAGTCCTGTAAAGCCAAGGCAGCTCTTCTCCTTCCCCGCTGGGCTACCTTTGCCAAGTTTTTCTCCCCTGAAAAATACAGAAAGGTGCTGCTCAAATCTCACCTCTCTTAAGCCCTCAGTTTCTCCACTGGGATTTGGAGGACGTGTAAATCACAGCCAGGAAATCCTACTGAAGAACAATGCAGGAGGGACTTTTAAGAGTTTGAGGGGGGAAGTGAAAACGAACTGCTAACATATTCTGTATTTTAAAGAGCTAACTCCTCTAGTCCCTGGTGTAGAACTATAAGTAAGTACCTCTTTGGGAGTCTGGAATATTCTTTTTTTTTTTTTGGTGGTACCAAATGTTTGCCCTCATTCTTGGAGAGTCTCCTGGGGGTTTGTGGCCTTTTCCACTGTTCTTCTTGCCCCTAGCTCTATTTAAATTTTAAATACTTCTCCCTGCCACGCACTAGCAGTTGAGAGGGTTCATGTCTGTTCCTGTGTTCCCAACTTGCCTACTAGCTACCTCGCCTGATTTTTGCTGAATATCTGTTTGCCAATTTAACCAACTGCTTTCCTTCTCTTAGAATCGGAATCTTTTAAGGGTCAACAGGCAAATATCTGTAAAAAATTTCACTAATGTCTGGATCAAATGGCAAAATGGTCCTGAGAAATCACAGCCAGCAGATACCTCTTTACATCTGAACCTGGGTGCCACAGCAGCAGAATCAAAGGTTAACATTGCTTGCGGAAGGCAATTGGGCTGCCAAAATGAGCTCACTCTCCTGTGGTGAGAAATGTGTGGTGTTCCTGTGTTCCTCCCACCCTCTGTTAAATGCTGCTTCACACAGGAGAAGTGATTCAAGTCATTTTTTCTTCAAGATGTATTAACAGTCCCCCTTCCTCTCCCACTCCCCCATCCAGCCACACACATGCCCCATATTAGATGGAGAGGCCTGACCCATCTAGGAATTGAGGGAAACTTGTCCTTGTTTTCTCCCCATCAGTTGCTCTCCTTCCAGACTCTTTGCCCCAGCCTGGAGCCCAGGGGCTTTTACGTGGTACCAGGCACACCTCTGGTGATGACCTGGGATCCGGAAATGACCTGAGCTAGATTCAACAGATGCACACACTGAGGAGAAGTGGGGGGCTGTTAGAAGGGAGGTTCTGACAGATACTCCATGGCACTGAAACTTCTTACCTTAGGGTCTTCTGTGGACGGACCTCCATTGTCCCCTGAAGGTGATCYGGCTTAGGCAGTGGCCCTGTGGGAGAGTATTCTTCATGATAACTGATTGTCACTGTGAAATTCTTATTTATACATTAAGCGCAGATTCTTGAAGTGTTGCTAGGAATTCCAGAGAGTGTTTCTATTGAGGAGAGAATGCCTTACCTGGGGCAAGGGAAGGAGACAAGGAGCAGGCAGCTCCAAAGGCTCTATGATGGAGGACTTCTGCACTTACTATGTTCTCCCAAAGAAATGTATTAAATTCAGCTACCTCCCCGCAGAAACTAAGAACTTCGAGACATGATGTGATTGTATGTGCGTTCTCTTCTGCACACACATCTTCCTGTATTCCCAAGCCATTTCTAATTTGGATACTGGACTCTAAGCTTTCATTCACTCATTCATTTATTTAACAATTATTTATTAACCTGCTTTGGACAGTTTTGGTGTTTACTCTTTATTACATTTTACTTTGTCTCAATTTTCTCACCTATAAAGTGAGGATAATAATACCAAGTACCTTATAGGGTTTCTGTGAGTTCTAAAAATTGTAGAGTAGTCCCCCTTTATCAGTGGAGAATAGGTTCCAAGACCCCCAGTGGATGCCTGAAACCATGCTTAGTATTGGGAGATATATATATATACACACACACACACACACACACACACACGTACACTAAGTTTTCCCCTATACAGACACATCTTTGATAAAGTTTAATTTACAAATTAGGCACAGAAAGAGATAAACAATAACTAGTAAGAAAAGTAGAACAATTGTAACAACATACTATGATAAAAGGTACATGAGTATGGTCTCTTCTTGAAATAGTAAAGACAAATGTTAATATTTTCAGAGAGTCACTGTGAGTGGGTTATTGAAACTACAGATAATAAATCCATAGAAAAGGAGGTGACTACTATAAATCACTAATAACAATGGCTGGCCCACACTAAGCACCCAATTAATGGGAGTCCTTATTGGTGTTAGTTTTATGTGACCAACTGGGGCAATACAACAAAAAACAGAAACAACATGTCATTTCTGTCCTGAGCACACCTTCTGGTGGTGGACAGGCATATATAGGTAAATCCAGAAAACACATAAACATATAGATTTAGGACAATAGGATCTAGTGATATAAAAGATTGGAGCATCTATTTTTGGGGTACTCTTGGTACTTGTAAGTTGGTTTTAGAGTGCAGTGGCTCTGTTCATAATCATGGGGCACAGGACATCCAACTCAAACCTCACCCTCCCTGGGAAACTTCCCCTACTTCCCTGGCCAAGGTAGTCAATCTTCTTTGCAGATTTACACATCCCTCTACTTAACATTTTCCCCCTGCATTTTAACTCCTAAATACCACATTGGAGCAGGGCACTGAGCCCCCACTGGAATTGACCTGCCTGAGAATATATGTGCATCTGGAGTGCTTAAAGTGTAGTCACTACTGTGGGATGCATTACCTAGGATGTGAACCTATGAGCACCAGAGAAATCCTGCCTAATGGGTTCTATAGGCAGAAGCGACTCTATAGTCCTTGCTTTGCTATTAAACTGGAGGTAGCCATAAAAGCTCTGAGTATTGTAAAACCTATCAAGTGCTTCTCCCATTCAAGCTATTGTAAGGTCCAGGAGAGTCTTTGTGTAACCTTAAGTCCTCAACACACAGAGGAGAATTACTATCACTGATACTGTTTCCCATCCAGGTGTTCCACCAGGTGTGGTCAATATTGTGTTTGGAACAGGGCCCAAGGTAGGTGAGGCCCTGGTGACCCACCCAGAGGTGCCCTTGATCTCCTTTACTGGGAGTCAACCCACAGCTGAGCGGATCACCCAGCTGAGTGCTCCCTTCTGTAAGAAGCTCTCCCTGGAGCTGGGGGGCAAGAATCCTGCCATCATTTTTGAGGATGCCAATCTGGAGGACTGTATTCCAGCAACTGTCAGATCCAGCTTTGCCAACCAGGTATGTGCTCTGGGTATTCCCCACCCCATGGCCCTGTCAACCTGAATCTGTTTTATCACAGTGCAAATCCCAGGAGTGAATGGGTAAATCCAGTCACTTCCATGAAAGGAGGATCAGTACACTGATATTCCAGTGTCTATCAGCTTCTGTTCATTAAGCTCCTATTGTTGTTTATACAATTTTTATCATGTACCACACATGGGCAGAATGATTGAGTTTGCTGTTTCAGCCTCCTCCATTTTGTAAGTCACACATTTGCACTATCTCCTCTTGCTGCTCACATGTCCTATTTCTAGTGGACCTTATTCTCCCCGAAAGTATTTTAAATGCATTCACACACTGTTACCATTGCCTGTAATGCCATAGAGAGCTTCAGGCCATCTTGCATCTCCCAGAAATTATATAACTAATGGTTTTTCAGGCTTTGTAGTGTTACATTCTTCAAGGTCATGGTACCCCAAAGGATTAAGAATGCTAGATCAGATTAACTCTACAGCAGCTTCATGAAGATGGAAGCAGTACCTGTCTCTGTGCAATAGTTTTAGTATCAATGTCTGCATAGTTCCTAGCAGATATGTGCTATTACCGAATGGTTTGCTCCAAGAGATAGTTTTATTTTAGTAGCGAATAAAGGCTTACACAAAACAGTTAGAACTTCAGAGCAGTAGGATGAGACAGATTTGCATTTTCCTAACTGGAGAAACATTGGATGTTGCATAATCATTTGAACCTCTATTTCTAAACCTGTAGAATAATTTGAGCTATAACAATCCCTTCTGATAGGATTTTGCAAATGTAAAGTGAAAAACATAATAATAATAATAATATTATTATTATTTTACTTTTATTATTTTGGTGTCACATGGGATTGAGCCCAGGGTACTGTGCATGCTAGGCGAGCACCCTTCCACTCAGCTACACCCCAACCCTATAGAATATTATTTTAAAAATGATTATAATGGTAATTATTTGATTTACCATAATTCCTAGAGAAAATGACTAGAAACACAGAGAAATTTGAGATCAATAGAAAAGGCCTTTTTTTTTGATACACTGATTTAATCATTAAAATCAGAAAATATCAAATGGATAATTGAATTCAGTGTTTTGATGATTTCCAGATAACAAAAGAGAGACAAATTCCAAGGATTTAGAGTTGAGGCAAGAAAGGAAGGCACGTTCTCTGTATTAAAGTAAATGTGTACTGAGCCTGGAGGTGTAGACTTCTGGCTGCTCAGTTACTAGAATCATGCGAGGGTTTGAGTGTGCTCAAAGAAACTTCCTCTTGGAGTGTTTTAAAGTATCAGTGGGAGAAGGATCAGGGCCAGTCCAAAGCAACAAATGGATTTTAGGAACAAATAAAAAAAAAAAGTAGCTTGATTATTTCACTTTAGCTAAGTGATGAGTCTCATGGAAGACATACTTCCTTCTTAATTAAACATATTTGGCTTATTGGGGGAAGCATGTCTGTACAAACTTGGGCATATATTTCTTAACTGTAAAATAATAATGCCAACACATCAGAGTTACTAAGGAACGAGTATCCTTGGCAAATGACAGAGACTCGATAGATAGTATCATCCTTTTTTCATTTCCTCTGAAGTCATCCTCCCAGGGATTTCAGTATTCCCTTGCTTTCCTGGCATTGAGTAACGGGAAACTTGGTAAAACTCTCAAGTCTCTTTATCACACCCTCCTTCCTTATAGGGCACAGGGCACTTGTGCAGATGAACCTGTCTGGTGTTGGTCATTGCCCAAACCAGATAAGCAGATGGTTCTGATTTATCCTGTTTGCAGAAAGAATTGGTCATTTTAAAACATTAACTGTTTAATTCATTTAATAAACCTTTTTACAAATACCAAGGTAATTAGAAGCATTCTGTTTCCTAGGATGAAAATAGTTATTTATGCATTTATGTCCTATCTTTAAGATATAACCTGCAACCTATAACTTCTCCAGTGAATCCATGCCTGTTTCCTATACTTTTAGGGTTCCAAACCCCTGTAAGAATCTTAAACTCACTAGATTCCTATCACTTCTCTCTGTCTCCATTGGTGCCTCTCTGGTCCAAGCTACCTCCACTCATCTGCACTTTGAAATAGTCTTATAAATCTGCTCTCTGTTTCCACTCTGATTTCCTTCTTTTCTATTTTCTACACAGCTGTCAGAATCATAACTTTAAAATGTAAATCTGATTATATCACTCTTCTGCATAAAACCTTCCATTTTCACGATACTGAGACTAAAATGTAAGCTCTATATGAGCGCGTGAGGGTGCACCACATTGCTTTGTTCACTTCCCATTCCTGCCTCCACTCCCAGCCTCACCCCACACTTCTTCTTGCCCCACTCCCACACCCGCTCCTTCCTGCAGCAGATCCTCCATGCTTACTGCTGGAATTCCTCCTCCAGATCTTTGCTCATCCAGCTCCTTAATGTCGATAAAAAGCTTGTTTTCCAAATGTCTCCTCTTTGCATTGCCTTCCAGAATGCCCTTTAGTAAAATAGTTGTCTCCTCCTCCATCAGCTTTTCTTCCCCTCCTCTGCCTAATTTTCATTTATTGCTTTGATCACTACCTGAAGCTTTGTTGTGTATTGAAAGTGTTCATTTGTGGTTTTGTCTGTCTTCCTTCAAGACTATGAGTTCCACATGGTGGGGACTTGGTCTTGTTCACCACTGGATCCCATTGTCTAGACTAGTGCCTGATACATGACAGGCACTAGAAAGTGATGGGGGATCTACCATGAAGGAGAAGGCCCTACAGTCTTGTCATTGTTCACATTCTTGACAGGGTGAAATCTGTCTCTGCACCAGCAGGATCTTTGTTCAGAGGAGCATCTATAATGAATTTTTAAAGAGGTTTGTAGAAGCTAGCAGAAAGTGGAAGGTCGGCATTCCTTCTGATCCATCAGCCAGCATGGGTGCTCTGATAAGTAAAGCACATTTGGAGAAAGTAAGTACACCTCTGTCATGTAAGTTACAGAAAGTTTTTGGAAAAGAAGCTCAGCACAAGCATCACACACATTGGCCTTAGAGATACTGTAATTACTTCTGGAAAATCATGGGCTATGGGAAGTTATCTCTGGACATAGGTTCAATAAACTTTATATATTTTTATTTATTTATTTTTTTTAGAGAGAGAGAGAGAGAGAGAGAGAGAGAGAGAGAGAGAGAGAGAATTTTAATATTTATTTTTTAGTTTTTGGCAGACACAACATCTTTGTTTGTATGTGGTGCTGAGGATCGAACCCTGGCTGCATGCATGCCAGGCAAGCGCGCTACCGCTTGAGCCACATCCCCAGCCCTAGAAACTGTACATTTGAATATGCAAATAGAGATCCTTGACTAGAATGAAAGCCCCATGGCCAGGTTTATTCACTGTTGTGTCCTCAAAGCCCAGAAAAATACCTAGAACAAAGAAGGTGCATAGTATTAGTTGGGAAAATGATTCAAATTGCACCATATTGTGTGTTTCAGTTATGATATATGTTCCAAAAATCAAGTCACCCATTTTCCTTGAATACTTTTAGATTCTTGTCTTACCCAATTCTGGTATTGGGTCCAAAGATGCACAGGACCTGGCCATCTTTCCTGCCAGCATGGTTCAGCATCAAGATTCTGAAAAGAAGCAAAACACACGAACCAAGCCTCTTTTAAGCCTCTTTTCAAGAAAGCACATCTGTCATTATCTTGGAGTCACTGGGTTAATTTATTACACACTTTGATTTCCATTGTAGTTAGCTGTACTATATTAATTATCCAGATGCAGTTTCAGAGTATAATCAGTAATGAGACTAGAATTTTTTTTTCTTCAAAGCTCAGCTATTGAAGGACATTCTGGCCTATAAATCTTACAAATCACTCACTTCCCATTTATAATGGACATCCCCCTCCAATAAAAAAAAAGGGGGAGAAAATATTCTTTCATGTATTTAACTACAGAATACACCAGAGTATGAATTTAACTTTACTTTTTATTAGCTTCATGAACAATGTATTCTCTCTGAGGCTCAAATATAACATCAGCAAATAGGGGTAATAAAGATAAAGATAGTTGCTAGAGTTTTGAGAGAATCAAGTGAGGATGTAGGCAAAGTACGAATCTGAGTGTCTGACACTTAGATATTAAATACATTCCTTCCTTCTCCTGTGCATGATGGCTGAATGCCTATATGATGGCTGCCCTAAGGTTTAGCAGCTGAGTGACAAGAAAACCCTAGGCTTTCTTAGCCTTGATCTTATACTGCTTTCTGATGATTAGGAAATATTTTTTTTTCCTATTGACTTGTGTGAAGCTAAATAATGAGAATTTGCTCACTATGTTTGTTACCTGCCCAGGTCAGAAGTTACATCAAGAAGGCTCGTGCTGAAGGGGCCCAAATCCTGTGTGGCGAGGGGGTAGATAGGTTGAGCCTGCCCCCCAGGAATCAGGCGGGCTACTTCATGCTTCCCACGGTGATAACAGACATTAAGGATGAGTCCTGCTGTATGAAGGAAGAGATATTTGGTCCAGTGACGTGTGTTGTCCCTTTTGATAGCGAAGAGGAAGTGATTAGAAGGGCCAACAGTGTTAAATACGGGCTGGCGGCTACGGTATGGTCAGGCCACGTGGGACGCATCCACCGGGTGGCTCAGAAGCTGCAGTCGGGCTTGGTCTGGACCAACTGCTGGCTGATCAGAGAGCTGAACCTGCCTTTTGGGGGGATGAAGTATTCTGGGATAGGAAGGGAGGGAGCCAAGGACTCTCATGACTTCTTTACTGAAATCAAAACCATCACAGTTAAGTACTGAACTTCGCCCATGGGGAAGCTGCTGTCATCACTGCCTTGCAGCAGAGACCCTGCTGTCCAGTGTGATGAAGGAAGTGCAGGTGTCCATCGCAGCACATCCTGACGGCAGGAGGCTCTCTCTAGCTTACCTTGGAAGGCTCGCGAGATGCTACCTATTTTCAATGTGGACTCAGAAGAGAATACTTCTGAATAGGAAGTCACAACAAGGAGGCCATACGATCATCATGTCATGCCTTCAAAGGATTTTTTTCATCATCTAGAATGAATTCTTGGAATCCTCAGTAATCAAACATTTTCATTTACAAATATGGAGTAAAAAAAATCCACAAAGCCGAAGAGAAACAACTCAGCATAATTCCCTGCCTTTAAGAGGACCGTGGAGATGTTCTCCTGGTCCATTATCCACCTGTGTGGCTAAGTGATAACTGGATACTCCTCATCATGTGTGGGGGTGTCGAATGTTTCTGCACTTTGTTAGAGGAGGTCTATGTGGTAGGTTGGGCTAAATATATCTATACAGGGACAAAGAACAATAAAATTGCTACCACTTTTAGAGGAAGCTTGGAACAAGAAGAGAAAACGAATCCATTTCCACTGTCAAGTCTATCAATTGTTAATAAGGCTGATCATTTACTAATTCTAAAAGAAACAATAAAATATTATCAATTTTAGTAAAAGGTATGGCATTCACCTTGACTTGTCCATTAWCCCTCCTTATGTCCATCCTATTAGAAGTATGGATTCTTCTACTAATAAAACTATTTCTAGTTGCTTATTTTTATGGATCTCCAAATGATTCAAGGAGAAAACTGAAGTTTAGCCATTAAATAGCACACTCAAGGTCTTACAAATGATATGGGGTAGAGGTGGGCCGGATCCTCAGTCTCTGAAACTAATGATCTCTGAACATCTCCCACCTGTCTTGGGTCCTGCTCCAGAGGGAGCCAATTATTGATGATTCAGGGAACTCATCACGCTGGGTCCTTCTCCAAGTCTCCCTCTTGCTTCGCTTCTTCCCTCTTGCCGAGCTCCATTTGGCATGAGTAAGGGACCCGCCACAGGGGCTATGCCACCCAGGACTTCCTGGAGCCCAGCGTCTTCCTCACTGGCAGAAGCAATCTATTTGCAGTCTGACCCCACAATGGGACAGGAATGTCAAAGGCCCTGGGTTGTGTTATTATCCCCACAAGTCTCAAAGCATAGCACCTGGCACACAGAAGGTACTCAAAACTAATTCCAGGCGGGGAGTAAGGTGTTCCTGATGCTCTGAGGTATTTGTTGCATTATTTGTGTCTGGGTGGGGGACTGTGGATAACTGTAGGGGGAAGACTATGCTTTATAACTTTGCTTGGGATTTAGGCATTTTGACTTGTTTACAAGTGCTGAGAAATCAGTCAGCCTATTTAAGATCAAGTGATGGTGTGAATTATACCTGTTCTTAGCTTTTAACTCCCCTCCCTTCTCCTTCCCTCACCATCTCTCTTCTTCTTCTTTTTTTAAAAAAAATCTTTATTTTATGTGTTTATTTTTATGTGGTGCTGAGGATCAAAGCCAGGGCCTCGTACATGCTAAGCAAGCGCTCTACCGCTGAGCCACAACCCCAGCCCACCACCTCTCTTCTTAACCTTGATTACTTTAGTCCAGGATCAATTCTGAGCATCAGCAGGAGGAGTTTCAGCAACTTCAGTCTCATCTTTGCTCTTATTTGTGGTCTGGCCAAAGTCATCCTTATTCCTGAGACTCAAATCACATCTTTTTTTTTTTAATTTCTTTCTTTCTTTCTTTCATACATGACAATAGTGGAAGGCATTACATTCATAATGCATTCCACTATTCACAGCACAATTTTTCATAACTCTGTATATGAATTGTAATGCAAAAAAAATTCAAATCACATCTTGATTCCATATTCTGGCAGCTGACTCTCCTTGTTCCCTGTGTCTGAATATCTGCCTCCCACCCTGCTTGCTTTCTGCCTGAGAGGTGGCTCTCAGGACCTGAGCCAGTTCTGCTCTCATCAGTTCTTGTCCTGGCTCTGGATTCAGCCTGTGGAGGGATTGCTTCTTGCTGACATTCTGGATGCCTTTTTCCTGCCTCTGTATCTCTTTGAATTTAGCAGGTCATACAAATGGTATGGGATAGAGGTGGGTCTGGATCCTCAGCTTCTGAGATAATCAGGGACCCCCATAAGGACAAAAACAGATGCATTCCTAGGTCTTGGCTCATAGCCTGACAAGCCATTAAAAGGTCCCAACTTAACATATAGTTTGTCGAACACCAAATGTGCCTCATTTATCCATCCTCAAAGAGTGTATCAGCTTTAAAGATCAGGTGCATTGTTAGAGCCAGGTGCCCTCAGCATCACTTTTCCAAAGCTAAAAGGGTAATTCTGTTGAGGAGATCTCAAAATGGCAGATACCCAGGGCCTTTAACTTGCTACCTGTTCTTTCACTTAACTCAGTCTTATCTCAGGGCTGGGATGCTTAAGTTCCAGTTTCCGCTCAGGTTGAAGTGCATATAAAGCCAATTAACATGCCAAGCCCCAGTCCACCCCTTCAGGTGGTGGTACTTCTTTCTTTTATTCAAGGGAACCCATCTGACACTTCCGTATCAGAGTGGCGTCTCCCTCCCAAGCTGCCGTATGTTAGTATTCACATGACTTAATATCATTTTTATCATCATTAGGTCCAACATCACTTCCGGACTCCTGGTCAGTTTAATGTGTGTTTGACCAAATACTGTTCCTCTACTCTGACACTATGCCAGCTGACAGTGGTTATAACCATTGCTTATGTAGTTTTCTCTCCTCACTTGAGCATTTCCAGTGGGTAAGTTCAGATCCAAGTTTTATTCCTCTCCCACTTCCCCATACTTTCTGAGGTCCTCACAGCAACTGGTCTGTGTTGCATATGACAGAATCTCATTGGAGTGAATTATCTGTGGCTATGGGGCTGCCACACCTCCATCATGCTGCATTTAGAACTGACAATGAAAAAAAGGCAGAAGGGGTGATTTACAAGGGGTTATGTTTTATATATGAGGTTTCATCCAAAAGTTCATCATGAGACAATGTAAGACTGTCCAGAAGTGAAGCAATTAGATTATGAGGCATGTAATCTAATCTGGATTAATCCACTTATATGGATTAACTGGGTGGTAATTATAGGCAGACAAGGTATGGCTGGAGGAGGTGGGTCACTGGGAGTGTGCTCTTGGTTTTATATTTTGTCCCTGGTGAGCAGAGCTCTCTTTTTGCTTCCTGGTTGGCATGTCCTGAGCTGCGTTCCTCTGCCACACCTTTCCACCATGAGGCTCTATCTCACCTGGGGCCCAGAGCAATGGAGTCAGCTAATCAGAGACTGAATATCTGAGTCAAAATAAACTTTCATTTCTTTTTAAGTTGTTCTTATAAGGTATTTTGGTCACAGAAAGGAAAAGCTGACTAAAACACAAGGATTGAAATTCTATTTGTAAACTTTTATTTCTAAACTAGGTTATGTGCACATGGGGGTTGACTATATTATTTCATATGTCAGAAACATTTTTATACCTAAAGGGAAAGTAGGAGCACACTGAGAAGCAGGCAAGGGAGATGCTGAGCAGAGGGGAGATGTCTCCTCCTGGTAGAGTCCCGGATGGAGCTCCCATCCTTGATCCTTGGAAGCATGAAGGATGGAGGGCAGGCACTGATGGGAAGGGGACAAGGATGTCTAAGGAGCAGAGCTTCTCAGACATTGATGTGCTTCTGAATCACCAGGGTTTCTGTTAAAATATAGATTCAGTGTCCCGAAGTCTAAGGTGAGGCCTAGGGAACTAGGAATATCAAGGAATTAGAAGACACTTTGCAAAATCCCAGGCCTCAGGAGTAGCAGGCTGCAGCATTTGACTCCCCCAAGCCCCCCACCCCCCACCCAGGCAAAGGAAGAGCTCAAGACACCAGAGTGAAACATATTCTGGGAAGGGGTCTACTGTGGTTACTGGCACAAAGTTTGAGCTAGCTTGCTTTCCATGAGACTCAGGAGGAGGGAGAGAAAGGCAGCGATCCCTCAGGACCCACCAGGGATGGGTTTCTGGATTCTTCCTGCCTCCAACAGATGCCAAAATCCATGGAGCCCAACATATTGTAAACACTCTGSAAACAGTTGTTGCACTATATTGTTTAGACAAGAATAAGAGTCTGTGCATGTGTTATGGTTTGGATATGGGATAATAATGCTAGACATGAAGAGACTAGACTGTGGAGCTGTAACCGAACCAGTTCATCTTAGTTTGAATGGCCTAACTTGGTGGTAACTGTAGGCAGACCTGGGAAGGTAGGTCACTGGGAGAGTGCGCTGAAAAGGTATATCTTCCTGTGGCTTTGTTCCCCAATTTCTATTTCCTGGCTGCCATGAGGTGAGCAGTTTTCCTCCACCATGCCCTTCCACCATTCTGAAATAAATGAGAAAAGAGAGTGAAACATATACTAAAAGATAATTTCCCTAAACTAAATAAAAAGACTTTTCAGAGGGAGAATACTCAGAAATATTCTGTTAACACTTTAAAGTTCTGACAGAAAAGCTTGCAGAGTAAATGAATAGGTTGCCTATGAAAATAAGCATAAGATGGTCACCACACTTTTAAAATTCATAATATTGATGCTAGAAAGCAGAGGAGCAAGTCTCCAAAGTTCTCACAAAAAATTTACTTTGAACCTAAATTCTATAGCCAGTCACATGACATGAATGGAGACAAAATAAGATATTTAGTGACTCTGGAAGTTTCTCCCTGTCTGTCCTTCCTGGTATGACTCGAGCATGCAAGCCAGCAAAGGAAAACGTGAGTCCAACGAACAGAAGAACTGCCTGAGGAATGAAATTACATGAAATTTTAAGTTGTTGGATGTGAAAAAAGGCCTATAAATGTGTCCCACTCTCCAGAAGACGGGGAAGGGAGTGTTTAGCTGAATGGGAGAGGGAAACTTTTACTTTCATTTATCAATGGCTATTTTTATTGATTTATTTTTATATTTTAACATTTTGCCATCATTTTTGATAAATAATGATATAAATATTTAGACACCTTCTGATTAATACTTTTTCTCAGGAGTGGGAATTGGGAGTTTTTGTTCCCTGTTATTTAAGGCTGTTCCAGCTCTAGCTCTCCAACCCCAGCCTCTTTAAGAGGTCTGATGTCACCTGATGTCTTGGGAGTCCCAGTGCAATTGGAAAGAATACTTCCCTGCAGAGACACCCTGGGAAACCTGCCCAGGGTAGACCAAAGGAGGACAAATCCCCCTAGTGCCCCAGTGCTGCCGGTCTCTGAGCAAGAGGATGGGGGGTCAGAGCCTGCACCCTGCTGYTCTCCACAGCTACCCCTTCCCTCCTGCTTGGCACAGGGAGGATGGGGGATGCTCTAGCATCACTTACTTGCCTTCAGGCCATCCATATTGGATATTCCCTTAAGCTTAAACCCAGACTTTAAAAAGAAAACTCCAAGCCCTTGGTCCTTTTTAACTTTGGAGCTGTTTTTCTCCTGGGAATTTCTGGCATTCTTTGCTTGGGCTCTTTGCAGCTGACTGTTACCAAAATAATAATGGGTGGATTCACACCTGGGATGCCCCAGGATCAAACATCACACTTCAGA